CCCGGCTAATTTTTGTATTTTTAGTAGAGATGAGGTTTCCCCATGTCGGCCAGGCTGGTCTCAAACTCCTGACCTCAAGTGATCCGCCCACCTCGGCCTCCCAGAGTGCCAGAATTATAGGCGTGAGCTTCCACGCCCAGCCCATAGAGTGTTATCTTTAACACACATCCTGAACCTTTTTATATATATTCATACACCCTTATTTTCACTACATACAATTTCCAATTATCCAGCAACATATCCTTAAACTTCAATATTTCTAAGTACATAAAAGGAATAAAGCCCCAATGGCATAAATGCCAAGAACTGGCCAGGTAGTGGATCACAATGGAAATTGGACTCATTGGGAAACAGGGTGGTGATCAATGAGTCACATCTGCTATAGACAATGGGGAAAAGTTATGACATTCATATGGACCAGGCATCTGCCATCCCTGCCGTAAACATTGATGTTCTTGGCCATCTTCTGTTACCACCCTATACTTTCATCAGTCATTTAATCCACACCAATGTCCCAACTCTGACCTCTATACAACCTTTTTTTTTCCAGTTAAGGGTACTCTTCAAACACCATATACAACTAACTCTTTAATGTCTATTTTGGCTCAGATCTCTCTCCTGAGTTTCATACCTGCCAGTAGCCTACTGGACACTTTACCTAGATATTCCAGAGACAACTCAACAAACATACAGAAACAGAATTCTATGTTGTCCGTTGTGTACGCCCAACCACCTCTAACCAGATCCAACTCTTGTATTCCTATCTTGGTGACTAACACTTTATCTCCTCAGCCTAGAAGGCCTTCCACATCTCTCTCACACCACTTGCCCTCTACACAACTACTCCTGAAATATCTTCATCTCCCCATTGAACCTTCCTGAACTTTTCCTCTAACACAAATTGATCACTCCATTCATCTTTCTGCTAGCACAGGCTCTGACTTATGCTTTTGTAATGGAAATACAAATTCAAGGAGATAAGAGACATTTTCTAACAATTAAAGAAAAGCTTTTTATCTACTTTCAAAATAGAGATAGGATATTCTATTTCCACTAAATACTGAATATTTAGTACACTCAGAATTTGTACTAAATTGCTAGAATATTCTGTTTCCGCTTAAAAGATACACTTGGAATTTATAATATTTTTTCTTTTAAATGCCAATATTTACAACACACTGGAAATGTCATCCTTTGCAACTATTTAAACTTACCAGGAAAACTTTAGCTATCAACCTAAAAATGTTCAAAGGGATACATATTTTTAAAATCCTCCTAACAGATAAATAAGAAAAAGTTTTGAAGATTACTGTTTAGTCTACAAGACTCTTTTTTTCTTGGTACAAGGCCTAAGTTTTAATCATCATTTTATCCGCAGTACCTGAAACCTAACAGATATTCAATGAATGTTTGACAAATGAATAATTATAATTTTAAATTAAATATTTTCTTAGGTATTGTTTTTAAGCTCTAATGATTTTCTCTTTTGAGAACATCCCACCTACTAATGTGCTTACAAGTCAAGCCATTTGTAATGATTTATTTAAGTGAGATAGTCTAAATACTTTCTAAAGGGGAATAAGAATACTCATAAGACAACAGGTAACATAATTTAGGCAAAAGAAGCTAATGTATGCCTTTCTTCAAGTAAACTGTGGGTTTACTTGAACTAGACTCAAATACTATTGAAGTGCCTATAGTGCCTGAACCTTGTTGGATTTCTGATTGGTTCAGTTCATAGGGGCTGTTAAGAAGTACACTTCGGTCTTTATTATTCTCCTGAGAATCTTCACAATGGCCCTTCTGGTGCACCATATCCTCTCAAGTCTTAAATGTTTGCATGCAGCCAGTCATTGAGCATTCAATGGTCTCACTTTGACCAGAACAGCAAGAACAGAAAGAATTATTCAACTGATGTGACATCATGGCTTGTAAATTCCATAGTGAGACCAAGTAAGTCCATTAAGTTGGTGACAAAGAGTAGCAACAACGCCCAAAGTTTTGGTGAACCTCTCAAAAGTAAGAAGCTAATCAAAAGGGGCAAATTGTTAAATTAAACCAAATTTGGTCTAAGGATGCCTCCGTACTTGCAGTCCTTATGTAATGAATTGCAACATAACTTTGTATGTAAATTAACTGAAACCAGAACTTAGGAGTATACCTTGGTAACAAATAGATGAGTCTTAGCCAATCTGAGCGGCTGAGCTTTGGTCAACCACAGGCTGCCAACTGATGAGACCGTGTTCAAGTAAGGCAAACACTGAGTTATAGCCAAGTAAGCTGTTTCTGTACCTTACTTCCATTTTCTGTCCATAAATGCTGCCTGCTCACGTTGCAGAATGGAGCTCTCTGAGCTTATTTTGGTTCTGAGGACTGCCCAATTCACAAATTGTTCTGTGCTTAAATTTTGTTAAGTTTAGTGAGTCTAAAGTTTCTAACCATAGCTTTGACAAAGAAGTTGGTTTTATGAGGGTTTTTCAACAGCGGCACTATGAACATTTTAGGCCGGATAATTTTTTGTTGTGAGGGGCTGTCCTGTGTGTCATGGACTATTTAACAGCATCACTGGCCTCTATCCACTAGATGCCAGTAGCACCCCTCCCTCCTGGTTCTGACAACCAAAAAGAAACATCTCCAGACATTGCCAAATGTCCCCGATGGGAGGAAATCATCTTGGGTTGAGAACAACTGGGTTAGTGTCATCATTTTTATATATACTAAACTTAGACCCAAGAGAAAACTAAATATATCAGCAATTCCCACACTAGTCTATGGGCCCCTAATGCGGATCTGCCTAATGATTTATAAGCTTACCATTGTTCTGAGCCTTTCTGTTAAATTCTTGAATATACAATGGAGTCAGAATATCCTCAGGGTCAAAATAACCTGCTGCAGGTTCAAAGTAGTTAATAATTTCCCCAAGGTTCAATACCTGATAAATACAAAGCTCAGACCAAAACCATAGTATAGTTCTTTCCTCTTTACACTGTATCTCTCAGTTGAAGCCACAGTTCTATATCTTCCCTCCTCAAAGTTGTTACTATCTAATCCTATTGTAGCCCAAGGATATAATGTTAAAATAACAAAAATTCATGTAGATGGATGTTTATTGCATTGTTTATATATTTTAGACAATATGAATGTCCAAGAATGAGACATTAATAAAATAAATTATATGAACAAACATATAAACTTAGTAACTATTTTAAACAATCATGTACAATATTTATTACCATGTTAATATGTTCACAATGGATGTAATAATTATAAAGCATACATGGTCCCATTTCTTTAAAAAAACATGTATCTGTATAAATATACATATCATCCAGGCACAGTGGCTCACATCTGTAATCCCAGCACTTTGGGAGGCAAAGGTAGGCAGATCACTTTAGGTCAGGAGTTCAAGACCAGCCTGGCCAACATGATGAAACCCCATCTCTACCAAATATACAAAAATTAGCTGGGGTGGTTCATATGGTTTGCCTGTGTCCCCACCCAAATCTGATCTTGAATTGTAGCTCCCATAATCCCTGTGTCATGGGAGGGACCCAGTGGGAGGTAATTGAATCATGGGGGCAGGCTTTTCCTGTGCTGTCCTCGTGGTAGTGAATAAGTCTCACAAGGTCTGATGGTTTTATAAAGAGGAGTTGCCATACACAAGCTCTCTTGCTTGCCGCTATGTAAGACATGACTTTTCTCCTCCTTCGCCTTCCACCATAATTGTGAGGCCTCCCCAGCCATGTGAAACCATGTGAGCCCATGAAACCTTTTTTTCTTCATAAATTACCCAGTCTCTGGCATGTCCTTATAGCAGTATGAGAACAGACTAATACAGTGGTGCACACCTGTAATCCCAGTTACTTGGGAGGCTGAGGCAGGAGAATCACTCAAACCCAGGAGGTGGAGGTTGCAGTGAACCAAGACCGCACCACTGCGCTCCAGCCTGGGTGACAGAGCAAGACTCCATCTCAAAAATAAATAAATAATTATACATATATATGTAATCTGATAGGATTAATGCTAAAAAGTTGATAATTATAAATTTGGGTGGGAGGATTATGTTTTAGGGAATTTGTATTTATCACTCTTCTACAATAAACATAGATGGCTGTGTAAAAGTATTTTAGAGTATTTCTATAAACAAATTTACTTCATATACAAGAGTCATAAAGAAAAAACTGTGAATGCCTTTAATAATGGTGTTAAAGGAGAGCACCAAAATGTCATGATATATTTATACAGTTATGTTTCTGGGTTTATCATTTGATCTATAGTATATTTGAATGCATTTAACATCAGAGTCCCACTGAAACAACTTGCTTGGCTCCATCTGTAAAAACACTACAATAATCTTTATTGAAAACTCTCTGCAGTAGATATCCTTGTTAACCTTGTTAACCTCTTTGCTCTTAAAACCCAAGAGACAGTAATTTTAATGGAAGTATAAAGAGATATAACGAATTTACAATTATAGATACTTATACTATCTGACAGCAAAGGATAAAAAGCAGTGGGTTTGGGTTGAGTTTATTTGTTTGTTTTGTTTTTAATATAAGTGACCTATTTTCTGTCTGCTTATCAGGCTTAACAAAGGTCCTCTCTTGAGAGCAAACAAGGCAATTCCAGCCTCTCCAGCTCCTTCTCTGTATGAACTTTCACATAATAAGCCACTGAATGCTTATTAGGTACAAAGTGTGGGCAGGCACCAAAGGAATACATAGAAAAATCAAACAAATACTCCAGGAGAAATAACACCAGTATATAACTTAAATCTATTATTTATGAACTTTATTTTTTTTTTCGAACTATTAGGAAACAATGTCAATTACACAGAGAGGAGATAATCAGTTACTGGTCACATGTACAAACGCAGCTGAGAGCATCTTCCCAACATAAGATGTAATCCATTATGGCCTATTGCTATTTGTAGTTTTACACTTGTCTGTGTATGATCTCTGATTCAAAATGGGACACTCCCATCTTGATGGCCTTACTCTCAGGCCTCAGAGTAGTCGAAAGTGTGCTGTCCATTTACCTGGCTAACAATTGCTCTTACTCGAGTCCAGATCTCTGGTGGGTTCCCAACTTCATTCAGCCACAGTACTCACACCTTCAAAATATACTTCTTGTGGTCTGATCCTGCCAGAGTGAATGACTGCTTTAAAGAAGATAATATGTTCTCTGTTATATGTCCATGACTCTCACATTTGAAGCAAAGCCTATACTTTGATTTGCTGGCTATAACAAAATTTGAGAACATTTACAACTAATCTACCAATACGTATATAATACAGACTTTAAAAACTCACACTCATATGTGTTTCTAATGTTTTTACAATCAACGTGTATTATCCATGTACAAAGAACAATTGTTTTTAAAAAAGTTCAGGTCAATTCAGTCTGCTAAATCTGCCTACCCAGATAGTCTGGACAGTCCTGAATCTAAAAAAAACTTGGTTTCATGTCTTCTAGAGAAAGGTAAGGAAACAGAATAATTCTCAAATAGCTAAAACTGTACATACCGAGAATAAAAAAGCTAACTTTTATTGAGCATTAATATGTGCTACAGATTATATTAATTAATAAATCCTCAAAACAACCATAATAGATATATTCTTATCCTTTTACAGTTAAGAAAACTGGGACACAAAGTTAAGTAATCTACCCTCAACGACCCATGGTTAGTGCGTAAGTGGATTCCAACCCAGACTGCTTAACTCCAAAACCCAACCTATAGTTTATGCTACACTTCCACCTTTGACCTCTGCCTTCTAGGGCAAAGGAGCAAAAAACAAAGAACACACAAAAAAGTTAAAAAGCAAATGAATAAACAGGCTAGAAGTGAGAGTAATTGAGAAAAAGCAAAAAAAAAAAAAAAAAAAAGCAAAATTTGAAATTGCAACACTATGGTGGGGGGTGGGGGGGTGTATGTCTTGAATGAATAAAATGAAATGCATGGGACCTAAATATGCTTTTTTTTTTTTTTTTAGATGGAGTCTTGTTCTGTCGCCCAGGCTGGAGTGCAGTGGCGCCATTCTTCTGCCTCAGCCTCCCGAGTAGCTGGGATTACAGGTGCCCGCCACCACGCCCGGCTAATTTTTTTGTATTTGTTTTTACTAGAGACGGGGTTTTACCGTGTTAGCCAAGATGGTCTCGATCTCCTGACCCCGTGATCCGCCCGCCTCGGCCTCCCAAAGTGCTGGGATTACAGGCGTGAGCCACCGCGCCCGGCCCATATGCTCATTTCTTAGCAAGGAAAACTGAGGGTTGGGGAAGAATGCAAGCGGACAACGAAACCTACAATTTTACAGTGAAAACCTGTTATTCCAGGCAGCACTGACATTGACAAAATCTTGTCTAGAATCACTTCACCATTCAAGGGTAACAACAACAGGCATCCTTTCCTTAACCATCACAGTAACTCTAACTCCACGAACACACAAGAAAAAGAATTCCTAGAACCAGCTCAAGTAGAGCCAAAAAATACTGAGCCTAGAAATCAAAGCATGTGATTCTAGCATAGTCATTAGTGTGTGTTCTCCAGCGAATCACTTTTCCCTTCTGGGTTTCAATTACCTCAACTTCGTAGAGGCAAGTGTTTTAACTAAATTAAGGTGTAACTGTCAGCTCTAAGAATTATGTGAAACTTTAAAGAAAACTCCTGTAAAACTTGGAAATGCTCCGGGATGCATTTAAAACACCGTGAACTATGGGTTCTTTGGCGAGAATGTTCCCTTCTAAGCCGCCCCAAGCCCTGGCTAGACCATGACACAGACTGGTTTCCAAGCCCTTGAGGCTTAGAGAGCAAGGTCAAATCCAGCTTTCAATAATTCCATAGGGCTGAGGCATTAACCTCTACGAGTATTATAATCTAAGTCAGAATTCTGGGGGTAAAGGCAGCGGCAGGGGAAGAAGAAATCACTATTATAGGTCATCAGAATCCTTAGTCCAGACCCCTCCGGTTGCAGAATGAAGCATAGAGAGTGCGAGCGCCTTGCGCCACGTTACACAGCAGTTAGCGCCGAGGGCGGGACTAGAACCTCGATCTTTGAGCTCCCCGATCGGCAAACGGTCCTTCCAAGTGCAGCGAAGCAACAGAGAGGAGGGGCGACGGCGCGCGGGGGCCCGGCACGGAGCGCAGGGGCACCAGGGAGGGCAGGGGCGCACCCCGAGTTACCTGTGTCGGCCCCCGAGCCGGCGTGCACCAGTCTGACCTCTGGCCGCTGCCCGTCGCCACCCGGCCTGCGCTGCACCACCTGCCGCAGAAGCAGCCGCATGCGCCGCGAGGCCGGGCCGCCGTGGCCTCCGGGTGCCCCGAGGAGTAGGAGCCGGGATTGCATGGGGCCGGGGGCGCTGCCGGGGACAGCGAGGGGGCCCGGGGGTCGAGGTGCGTCCCAGGCAGGCAGCGTGAGGCGGCGCAGAGAAGCGGACAGGAAGCGGCACCTAGCCGAGTCCGCCGGAAACTCCTTCCCCCTCGGCGCGGCCGGCTCAGTAGACTCTGCCCGGCCCAGCTTGGCCCTGCATGGGCCACGCGGGCTGCAAGAGCCTGCGGAGCGTCAGTCAAAGAGCCGGCACCGTCCCGAGACGGCCCGAGCCGCGGGGGTACTCCGAGCTGCGGCGCCGGGCTCTGGCGCGCGCCTCGCAGTCCCTGAGACTGTCTGTTCACCTGGATGCACCAGGCCTTCACCCCGCCTTTTCCCTGCGATCCCACAGAATCTCAGGAGTTAGGGACAGCCAAAGGTTTTAGGAGCATTTGTCGGTGAGGCTCTTCAGATGCTTGCACCAAGTCTTTGTTTCTTAGTTAAGTATAGGGAGATTTCCATGTACCCGGCTTCAGATTTGGGAAACTGAGAAAACATGCACAAGATGATGGGAACTTTCACAACTGTCTTGATTCATTGTAACCACACTAGTGTTTCCAAACCTTACCTGAAAGCGTTACCCTTTGTCCCTTTCGTGGTGGTTGTTTCTGTGTTTTATTACCGCTTCCTAAATTCCAAGGAAGAAAATTCACATCTTAAGGATAGATAGAAGTTGCTCAAATATCAGAAAGGATCCAGATCAAGCACTTTTCCGGTCATGCTGTAATACAAGAGTTATATAAAGATAATTTATGTCTTTAGTAAAGGAAAAAGTAGGACACTGGCTAAGGCTGCCTCCCTCTCGTACATTCCAACATCGGAAACAGCCCTACCACAAAGCAAACTAAGCCTAATGTAATTAGACTGCATCCCCAAAATGTCACAGTGAACTGACAAAGGCAAAATGTGAGACAAGTTATACAAACAAACATCAAAAAGAAGTCAGAAGACCTCACTTTCAGCTAAAGACCTTGCTAATTCTAGAGCTGCCACTGTCTAAATACATAGCACCTACCCTGCACCTAACCCTGTGATGAGTGCTGAGAAGAGAGTAAGAGAGTGGAGGCTGTGAAAGTCAAACAAGGCTAGGTAAGGAAGGCTTTGGGCATCCAGTGGAAGATCTTGGACTTGAGGAATGAAGGCTGAACCAGGCTTCTAACCTAGATGAGGAGACAGTGAAAATAAAGGTAATAAATAGTTACACAATATATTATGACATCGTTTCATGTGTATCTTCTCATTTAATCCTCATAGCAACCCTAAGACATAAATTTAGGATGTAAGTTTATCAAATGCTTTTCCTACTTTGAGCACATCCTATGCATCAAGATTTTAATGAATTACCTCATTTCACATAAAAATGCTTTGATTGAAGTACTATTATTATCCTCCATTTTACAGATGAAGAAACTGAGGCTGGAAGAATTAAATACCTTAGTCAAGATATCTCCATTTAATCTCGCTGGAACTCAGTAGACACCTGAAAGAATGAGAGAACAACCTAAGGCAATTTTGCAAAATGATTGATATAAGCACTAAGAGCTCTTGGAGTTAAGACAATGGAGAGATCCACACAAGTTAGAGCATTCAACAACATCTTTTGCTTAGTTTTATTTTTTTAGAGACAAAGTATCATTCTGTTGCCCAGGCTGGTGTGCAGTGGCAATATTATAGCACACTGCAACCCCAAATTCCTGGGCTCAAGTGATCCTCCTGCTTCAGCCTCCCTAGTAGCTGAGACTACAGCTATGCACCACTGTGCCTGGCTAATTTTTGTGTTTTTGTTTTTGTAGCAGTGGAGTCTTGTTATGTTGCCCAGGCTGGTCTCAAGCTCCTGGTCTCAAGTGATCCTCCTGCCTCAGCCTCCCAAAAACAACATTTATTGAGTAACTGCTGTATAAACAGTACCCTGCTAGATACTGTGAATCAATGGGCTTACATTAGGTATTGATGATAAATATACAAATAAAGAATTGCAATACAGTGAGACATGTGTCAGAGATTTAGGTTCAACATACTGTGGAGTGGATTGCTGCACCTGGAGGGGAGGTCAGCGAGTCTTCGCGGAGAAGGTAGTGTTTGAAATGGTTTTTGTAGGATATATTATACAAGAGTTTGTCAGGCTGAGACAAGTCAAATCTGGCAGACAGATCATGTACAGAGAGAGAGAAAGAAGCAGCTGAAAGTACAGGGCATGACTGAGAACCAGAGAGTGATTCAGTGTGTCTAGAGGTCAAGTATATATAACAGTTTGTAAGAAGAAGACCAGAAAGAGAATCTGGGGCCATGTTGTATGCCAAGAGAAGGAGTTTGCACATTAAGCCCCAGGAAATGGAAGTCTTTTTAGAGTGACAAAGCTACAATGGGGAGGAAAGAATAAGACCAGAAAGAGAATCTGGGGCCATGTTGTATGCCAACAGAAGAAGTTTGCACATTAACCTCCAGGAAATATGAAGGTATTTTAGAGTGACAAAGCTACAATGGGGAGGAAAACTTTGAGCCCGAGGAAAGGCAGCACCTGAGCTTAATTTTGAATGCTATTTAGGACTGGATAAACACAGAAGAGGGGACTAGAGCCTAAGTAGAGACTCGGAGTCCTGACTGAGTTAAGTTGCAGGGGCCATGAGACCAGCCAGATGAGGAGGTTAATCGTCAGAAAGTAGTAGAAGGTGTTGGCAGAGCAGGAGGAGAAGGTTACAGAGTGAAGAATCTTGAGTAGATGGATGAAGTTGGACTTCATCCGACGAGCAAACTGGGCAGCTACTGGACTTTTGATTGTGTTTTAGGTGGTGACATACTGTGAATTGAATTAGGAAGACAGGAAGCATCAAGTGCTAGCTACGTGGCAGTAAAAATAGTCTCTACTTGAAATGATGAACAGTGCTGATGGCAATGAGACTGAATGGGAAAGAATGGACCTTCACAGTGTTTTTAAAGATGAACCAAAGGTGTTTTGTTTTAAAAGATGTTCATCATAATCTGTGTAAAGTCTCTCAAACTCTTACTAAAATATCTGATCACATGCTTATTAAAAAAATAAGCTACCAGCCGGGCACAGTGGCTCACACCTATAATCCCAGCACTTTGGGAGGCTGAGACGGGTGGATCACCTGAGGTCAGGAGTTTGAGACCAGCCTGGCCAACATGGCGAAACCCTGTCTCTACTAAAAATACAAAAATTAGCCAGGCATGATGGTGGGTGGCTGTAATCCCAGCTACTCAGGAGGCAGGGGCAGGAGAATCGCTTGAACCCGGGAGGCAGAGGTTGCAGTGAGCTGAGATCATGTCACTGCATTCCAGCCTGGGCAACAGAGTGAGACTCTGTCTCAAAAAAAACAAAACAAACAAACAAAAAATCACACCACCAAAAGCTAGTATTGACTGTCAGGCTCTTTCCAGAGTTTGGAAGGAGTATTTTTTACATACCACATTAATGTAACTTGATGAAAAATGCAACTAATAATCCTTCCATGCTATGTCTGACTGAAAAAAAGGTGGGTGCTCCACTCCTCCACTGTCTACACCAGCTAAGAAATCAAAGGTTCATACCAGTAGTTCCCAGACTTTTGTGTGCATCCCAATTACCTGCAGAACTTATTAAAATGCAGATTATAGGGTTTCGTTCCTCCCTCCACCCAGAGATTCTGAGTCAATAGGTCTGAAAGGGCCCAAGAATTTTCATCTTTAGTAATACCTATATGAAATCACCCATGTGCCACACATTTCAGTCATGAAGTTGGACAACTGTTCTTTATAGGGTAGGAGGGAAAAAGGAAAATCATGACCAGGCACAGTGACTCACGCCTGTAATCCCAGCACTTTGGGAGGCCGAGGCAGGCAGATCACCTGAGGTCAGGAGTCCAAGACCAGCCTGGCTAACATGGAGAAACCCCATTTCTACTAAAAATACAAGAAATTAGCCTGGTGTGGTGGTGTGCACCTGTAATCCCAGCTACTTGGGAGGCTGAGGCAGGAGAATTGCTTGAACCCAGGAGGCGGAGATTGCAGTGATCTGAGATCGCCCCATTGCACTCCAACTTGGGCAACAAGAGTAAAACTCTGTCTCAAAAAACAAAAAAAAAAAAATGAAAATCATTGTTTCTTTGGTATTCCAAGATTGACCTCTTATTGCTCTTTTTTCCATTTTTTTTGAGACAGGATCCGGCTCTGTCGCCCAGGCTAGAGTGCAGTAGCATGATTACACCTCATTGCAGCCACTACCTCCTGGGCTCAAGCGATCCTCCCACCTCAGCCTCCCTAGTAGCTGGGACTACAGGCATGTACCACCATGCCTGGCTAATTTTTGTGTTTTTTGTAGTGACAAGGTTTCACTATGTTTCCCAGGCTGGTCTTAAACTCCTGGGCTCAGGTGATCTCCCTGCCTCTGCCTCCCAAAGTGCTAGGATTACAGGCATGAGCCACCATTCCCAGTCTCTTTCATTTGATGTATGCCTGCTGCAGAGCTGGAGAAGACAGGTGGGAGACAGGGGCTAGCGGGACTGGTTTGGAGAGAGAGAAAGGGCTGACCAGATAGATGGGTGTTTTTATTTTTATCCCTTTGATTACCAGTAAGGATAAACATTTTTTCATAAGTTCGAAAGTAATTTGTATTTTTAGTTATTATTTATCTAATTCTCCTTTGTGTATTTTTAAAATATCTTTCTAACTAATTTTAAGAGCTTTCTGCATACTAAGAATATTGACACTTTCTAGTAGGTTGCCAACTTACATTACTTTTTCCCTCCACCACACTTAGGCAGCTCAAATCCATGTGAGCAAATGGATTTAAGTAAGGAAGAAATACGAAGAAGACTATGGGCTTTTGAACCAGGCAAATCCGGGCTTCAATCATACTTCATCACTTCTAGTTGTAGGACATGAGCCAAATTGCTACCTTTTCTGCACCTCAATATTTTCATCTGTAAAACAGATACGGCCAGGCTCGGTGGCTCACTCCTGTAATCCCAGCACTTTAGGAGGCCGAGGCGGGTGGATCACGAGATGAGGAGATTGAGACCATCCTGGCCAACATGGTGAAACCCTGTCTCTACTAAAAATACAAAAATTAGCTGGGCATG